GATGGAAATGCTTAGTTTCTTACTAGCATCTAATAACTAGGCGATAAGATCCTGGAAGGTGGTTATATCTAATGCATATTGGAGACACCCACCTCCTAAGAACCTTCCACGTAACAGTTTCAGTATTCATATAAAAATCTCAGGTTTTTATATGAATAAGCCTCACGTTACCTCCGAATTTCCAGTAAAACTATGACATATACAAATGTAAGCGGCACTATTTAAGGTGGGGTAGAGAATCAATGTCCAACATTTGGGCTTACGATAGGACTGGAATCAAGGGATTGCTGTAAGATGACAGAGAATGGGAGCCCTGAGTGCAGGGGATTCTGGATATTGGAGCAGGAGGCAGCTGGGAGAATTTTTAGGGTCTGAATTATTAGAAATCCTGCTGAGGGTAACACCCTTCCCATAGGTCGAGGGATGGAGAGGTTAGAGTGGACCTGAGCTGAACTTGAGGGGCACGTGACATAGAGGGTTACGCCCAGCAGGGACAGGCCTCAGTCATTTTCCTCCATCGCCTCTCAAATCAGGATAAGCCTTCCAAATGCATCCGCTCTTCCCTGGAGGTAGAGTGGTGCAGCGGCAACAGCCCAACATGTGGGACCCGACTGTTGAGGTGTCAATTCCAGCACAGCCGTGTGCAGCTGTGTGACTTCGGGCATCGTCCCCAACCTCCCCATGCCTCAGTTTCACCACCTGAAAATGGGAATAATGGTTCTCAACCCATGGGGTTGTTTGTGAGAATTAAATGATCTAACATGTGGCGAAAGCTTTGAGACAGAGCTTGGCATACATAAAGCACTGGCTGTTTAGCTATTTTTATTATTTCCCCAAAGTGGTTGGGGGGAAAGACCAGTATTATTAGATGCAGAGCCTGAGCGTCCTGTGTTCTTATTCAACAGACGCACGAACACACTGTCCCCTGTGTGCTGTGTGGAGAGGGTCCCTCAGGGCTGTGGCAGCCGGCGGCGCTCTGTGCCCCGTGCCGCCTGCCGGGCTTCGCACCTTCCCGGCGAGCCGGGCCTTAGTGGACAGCCGAGCACCAGACTGCGGCCAACACCAAGGCACTGAGGGTGCTCTGTGTTTAGGACTTTTCCCTCTCAAAAACTAAGCGGACATGGGCACAGGGAGAGCCTGCTTCTGTTGTCTTCCACAGCCCCAAGTCCCCTCAGCCACAGCCCCTCCTCTTCCCTAAACATCTGCCGTGCCCCCTGTGGGAGCCGAGTGCGAGGGTGAGGTGTTCGGGTACCTGGTGACGGGTAACACATTTAAAGAGGAGCGACTCACCTGAGCCACCCACAGTCGGGAGCAGGAGGATGCTGAAGTCTGTAGTTCCCACCTGGGCGGGAAGAAAGCGAGCGCACCCTTGTGCCAGTGATGGACTGGGTGAGGAGATGGGACATGTGGAGCAGGGAGGAGGCTGCCTGAGGAAGGACCTGTGGTGGGACAAGCAGGACCAGCCGGCCACCAACCCCCAGTGCAGCCCAGACCCTGGGCTCGGAGCTGGGGTGAAGCCAATCCCGGACCCTCGCCACCTGGGGCCGTCCTAGATTCTCATCCCATTGTCCTTGGCACCCCAAGCACTTGCCAGTTCCTGCATTCCATTCTACCATAGGGTGGGTGAGCAGGTGTGGGGACAAGGTGTTAGGCCTGTGGCATCACTTCTGTAGCATCAGACCCTTATGGGGAAGGTCATCCGTGACTGCTTATTACCAATAAGCAGGACAATTTGAGACAAGGTGATGAGGGACCATGCAAAATGTGTTTCTCCCCCCACCTCCGCCCTTTCCCCGCCATATTATGAATTCTGCTTACAGAGCACATCATTACTCCTAGAAATTGGTTATTGTCGTATCAAACCATGCCCCTCCCCTCTGCCATACCTCCAGATCTCATGGGCAAAACAGAGGAATAGCAGGGAATTATCTCACAGGGACTAAAACATTCTATGATTTTGGAATTCCTGTGCCCTAATGGTGACAGATGTGATTTTCTCAAGAGACAGGGACAAGGCCTCATATATGTGGGGTCCTTCTAAATCTAAATGCTGTAGACTGTGACTAGACCCCAACCTGCCACTCTGCACCACTCACTCAGAACCAAGGCCAAACATCTAGTCTACAAATAGGACCATTTTTTACTTTTTTTTTTTTTATAGGAGGAAAAGCCTCTGTGAATCCTTATGGGACCTGGCCCTTTGCCCACAACAATGTGGCTGAACTATTTCTATTGCCCTTTCAGAATTCCCTTGTTCCCAGATATAGCCAACTGTATTATAAAGGTTTCATCCAACCAGGATATTATCTGGATAACAGCAAGAATTGATTAAACTAGATAGATAAACTCAGCTTTTTTTTTGCAGGGGACAGAAATGGTATATTTTTATTTAGCCCCAATTTCCCCAACCTCCAAAATTTTCCTACAGATCTCTGCCATGCTAACCTCCCTGGTTGACCTGACCCAGATTCCCTTAAATTGGCGCTGGCTGTCCAGAGGAAGTATGATGGCATGAGTGTGATCAAAGCGAGATGGCCTGGGATGGGATCCTGGCTGGTGATTATGGGCAGGCTTCTTAAGGTCTTTGCCTTAGTGTCCACATCTGCAAATGAAGATAATAACGACATCTACGTCATCAGGTTGTTGAAATATTAAGTGAGTTAGTACATGTAAAACATATAATTTGGCGCCTTGCACATAGTAAGAACTTTAAGTATAAGCTAGTATCTTGTTCTATCCATGGGCCACACTTGAAGATGATGTACAAGTAAATTCTCTGGGATACTTCTCATTGCTCTGCATTAAATAACTGTAAAAGGAAATCAGGACATTTGCCTGGTGCTGTGAGAGATGACTTGCCCATCTGGAAGGGGACAGTGATCTCTGGTTATCAGGATGTACCTTTTTTGCTCCCCAGAGATGCATATAAAATATAAAACCCTAATTCATTCAGTTCTGTACCTGTGAACTCCACTACCAAAGGCTCAGGGAATTTACCAGCCTGTTGAGTGGAGAAGTCAAAACTTGACCTTTCTTTTCTATTCTTGACCTTGAGCATTAGAGTGTCAGTTGAAGGCAAAAGAAGGAAGCATGTCTCCTGGATGCTGAAGGTGCTCCTGTACTCTTCCAAGAGTGTCTTATTCATTCAAAAATATTTATTGACTGCCTACTATGTTCCAGGCACTGCTGTAGGTCCTGAAATTATAGCAGTAAGCAAGACAGATGAGGTCCTTACTGTCTGGGAGCTTGCATTCCCACGATTCAAGAAATTCCATCATTCTATAAGAATTTCTTATTAATCGCCTCTCTTTTTTAGTACAACATATTCAGAATGATGACCCTGAATGACTGTACGATTCTAAAGCTGCAGTCCCCAACCCCTGGGCCACTGACCAGCACCAGTCCATGGCCTGTTAGGAACTGGGCTGCACAGTTGGAGGTGAGCAGCGGACAAACGAGTGAATTTCCATCTGTATTTATAGCTGCTCCCCATCGCTCGCATCACCGCCTGAGCCCCGCCTCCTGTCAGAGCAGCAGTGGCATTAGATTCTCATAGGAGCTCGAACCCTACTATAAACTGCACATGCGAGGGATCTAGGTTGCTCGCTCCTTATGAGAATCTAATGTCTGATGATCTGAAGTGGAGCTGAGGCGGTGATGCTAGTGCCAGAGAGCAGCTTCAAATACAGATTATCACAAGCAGAGAGGTTTGACTACACAATAAATGTAATGCATTTGAATCATCTTGAAACCATCCTCCCCCAACACCTGGTCCATGGAAAAGTTGTCTTCCATGAAATCAGTCCCATGTGCCAAAAAGGTTGGGGACCACAGTTCGAACGTGTCCTGTGAATCACCAAAGAAAGACAACATGATGGCCACTATAGTTTTGATGTTATGCATATTTTGTTGTATTCTAATATGTTTTTGAAAATAAATAGTCCATGCAAGACATGTACAGCCTGCATAAACATGAAACTGAACTGAATGGCCTTTTCCTACACCACACTGAAGTAGACACTCTTACTCTACCTGGCCGATTTATACAGCATTGTTGGCTTTCACACGTTTGTATGTTCTCTCCTTGTATGTGTCCTCTGGTCTCTCACCAATTATTATGTCTTTTCTAACCCTACGGACTGTAAACCTCACTGGGGAGGGAGCTTCCCGAGCCCAGGCACATCACACTGATGGCGTTGTCTGATGCCTGCCAGCCCCAGGAGGGAGGGCGGGCTGGGTGGAAGGGAGGAAGGGTCTTCTCTCCTGCTTCGTGGTATGTCCTAGCCCTCTCATGGGGCCTTAGCTTGGGGCTGTTGTCCAATATTCATAAGAAAACTGTCAGGGAAATGAGGTTCTAGCACCTCTCTTCGAGGTCCTCCCAGCTTCTGTGAAATGACCCAATGGGGTGGAGCTCCCCAAACCTCCTCCCAGCACTAACAGTCTCTGCTTCTAGGGTTCCTGGGCAGAACCCTTGGGAGAGTTTGGGAGTTCTTCCTCTTTTTGACCGGAAGGACTTTGTCTGCTAGGAAGCCAAGAAGAGGCCAGGAGTCCCAGTGCTTCCCTGCAGGTCCATTACACACATGCACACACGCATACACGCACACAAGCTGAGAGAGAACATCCTTGCCTGCCCTGCCCCATCTGCACCCTTTAAGGAGAACTGAAAACACACTTGATTCTTGTAGTAGAGGAGACTGTGGGAGTGGAGCAGACACAGGGAGTTTACATCACAGGAAGGATAAGAAAGAGGAAAGAAAAACTCACATATGGAAAGGGACACTAGTGGTAGGGAAAGAAATTTTATTTTCAAGCTTTTAAGAGAATATTACAAACAACAGAGTTTTAAAAAACCCTAAAAACTAGTTTAAAAAAGTACTCGACAGTGTCCCTTTAATACCCATGGATGACGCGGCCATTGTGCAATGACAAGGAGAAACTCTGCAGGTGACCACCACCCAGGGCCTTCCTTGGCAGGGTCCCAGGAACAAGCAAGTGGGCTCCCTGCCAGGCCCCTGGGCCCTCCTGGCTGCCTGGGAAGGACCAGGGCACAGGAAGCACAGAGCATTAGCCAAACTGCCTCTTTGGGGAGGGTCCCAAGCAGCAAGGAATACTTAGATTGGTCTCCACTCCACGCCTTGGGGCACACTGGCCAACCTCCTCCCAGCCACTGCAGCTGCTCTCCTGCGAGACCCTGGGTGGGGGTGCCCTGCAGCCAGGGGAGTCTGTGCACGTGCCAAGGCAGGAGGGGCATGGCACCGAGCGTGTCCTGGCCATAGGGTGGGGTTGCGTAGTTGAGAATCTTGCTCCTGGATTGACAGCTTCCAAGGCTGAAGCCACTGCAGCAGAACTGTGCTTGAGATACCCACCGGAGATCTGTACTTTTCTCTAGGCAAGTGCATGTGTGTGTGTGTGTGCGCATGTGTTTCCTGTAAACATCTTTGAGCCAAATCACCATAAAACAAAGTAACAAGGGTACAGAAAAACACCCATCTCCAAACTTAAGCCCTTTTTGAGCCCACCTGACATTGGAAGGCTCCTAAGGGAGGAGACACGGCTCTCCCTCTGGCGGCTCCCACCAACGTCCCCTCCCTGCACCATCCCTCCCTGCACCAGCCCCCCAGGCCCCTACAGCTGTCAGCCTTGGGAGTCACATCCTGCCCACCCAGGTGAGCCCAGAGGCCCCAAAGTCTGCCTGTCCCTGCCAGCCCTCCCCCATCCCTCCCCCTCCCCAACTGCCTGCTGAACAAGGCCCAGGAAGAAACAAAAACAAGCTCAAGGTCAGAACAGAGAGGGCACAGACGCTTTTGCCCTCGGCCCCCTTTGCCTCCAATGCCACCACCAGTGTCGCAGGGCTTTGCCCTCCCACAGCCTCTGCTTCTCCTGGGCGCCTGCCCATGGGCGCAGGGGGCGGGTTTGTTCCGTTAGCAAGGCTCAGCCTGTATTGCACTTCCTCCTTGCGTTTGTGTTGGTTTTCATTGCTGTCGTCTGGAGAATGGCAGTGACTGATAGCAAATCACAAAGCCACTCCTGGCACCAACCTCATTCCTGGTCCCCAGGGCTCCCTCTGGGCCCCCCACCCTCTGCCTGCTCCCAGCGCCGGCCCTGGGCTCCACCGGGCCCCCCATGCCTGCCCCCAGCCCCCTCGGGCCTGGCCATGGCCTTCCTCCCAGGTCTCTCCTCTCACACAGTCGTGACTCTCATGACGAGCTCTCGGCTGCTGCCCTGCGGGCTCCGCTGTTCATGAGGTCTCAAGTGACTCAGGATGTGCAGGATGGTGTAAGCACAGTGGTGATGGGGCGGAGGGCCCGCGGGGTGGCTGGCCGCCCGGGCAGGCCCTTGCTCAGGGGCAGGGGTGCCTGCCGCCTCCTCCTCCGAGGCGGGGATATTGGCCTGCGTGGACGAGGAGGTCCGGGGGTTGGTCCTGCCCCCTGACTTTTGATCCTCCAGGTCTTTTGTCTTGTCATAGTTCAGCACTTTCCACTGCTGGTTGACGGCCTGCCACCGTTTGAAGATGCGATACACGGAGGGTCCCTCGTGGATGATGAGACCTGGGGCAGCAGGGAGAGCAGAACACAAAGGCTATATAAGAGGAAGCAGCTCACCGCCAGGAGAAAACCACACTCTCCCTGGATTTGCAAAAGGACATAGGCACTGGCACCACCAGCTCGGAGGCACGGGGTCACCAGCCCTGGCTTCCTGGGCCCACCCAGTCTCCAGTAGGCAGAAGGTGCAGGGGCTGTCACACCAAGTTCATGAACCTGGTGTAGCTAAGCACCTACATGCAATGCCTTTGCCTACTTCTACTCTACCCTGCCCCCTTCTTGGCTTGACAAAATCCAAATTCATCCACTGAGGCATAACATGAGGCATATTATAATGCTCACTGAGGCATGGAAGCTTTTGCTCCCTTTATTACATATCTATGGCACCCAGTACTGAACACATGTTTAATGCATGTGCTTTTACAGGCACCATAAAAGAAACCCCATGGTCATTCCATATCTGCTGAATGATGTCTGAAATTCCACTGGCTAAGCCCTTGCACAACTAGCCCAGTGCTACTGCAATGCAAACACTCCCGGCAGAGAGAACTTTGATGTAGTCGTATCAGCCAGAGGCAGTAATGGAGTCGGAAACAAGCCGCACCAGACAGCAAGGCACATTACATCTTACTTGCTTGCCTCCTACGTGCCAAGCACTGGGGACAATGCAGTGAGCAGGGCAGACAGAGCCCACCCTCGGAGAGCTTCCATTCTAGTGGAGAAACGCCATAGACACGTAAACAAACCACGGAGACGATTCAGGTGCTGACCAATGCTATAAGGACGATAACCTGGGCTTAAACGGCCACTGGCTGCAGGTGTCGGGGCCCCGGTTTAGCAAGGGTGGTGGGAAAGGCTTTTCAGAGGAGGTGATATTTGAGCTGAGACTTAACAGACGAGAAGGAGAGACCCATGCAAAGACTTGGAGGGAGAGCACTTTGGTGTTAGGCAGGGCCAGGGCAAAGGCCAGGAGGGAATGGAAGGAACAAGGGTCAGAAAGGTCAGCGTGACCAACACCGCAAATGCGTGGGGACATGGAAGGAGATAAGGTGGGAAGAGGTCGATCTATCGCAGGGTCTTGCAGACCATGGCAAGGAACTTGTATTTTATCCTGAGGGTAATGGGAGGCCATTGGTGGGTTTCAACAGGAGGAACGACGGGGTCTGATTCACCCTTTGTGAAGCTCACGGTGGCTCCCGTAGGAATGATCAGCTGAGAAGGGACAAGAGTCGGAGCAGAAGGCCAAGCAGGAAGTGATGTAGTGATTCAAGGTGTAACCGATGCAGCCTGGCCCAGCGTCACAGCAGTGGGGGCAGCGCGGGACCCCTGGGGTCAGGATGCGCGTTAGAAGCAGGGCTGACAGGCTTGCTGACAGGTGGGGGGAGTGAAGAGAAAAGTCTGGACAACTCTGAAGCTTCTGGCCTCAGCAGTGGGTGAGCGGGCAGCCATTTACCGACTGTGGAGGCACGGGGCCGGGTTTGTGTGGTGGTCGGGGTGAGGACTGCATCAGTTTCCCGTTGCTGCTGTCACAGGTGACCACACGTTGAGTGGCTTAAAACAACACAAATGTTTCTCCTACAGTTCTGGAGACCAGAAGTCTAAAATCAGTCTTGCTAGGCTAACGAGAAGGTGTCAGCAGGGTACCTGCTGGTTCTTTCTGGAAGCTTTGAGGGGAGAATCTGTTTCCTTGCCTTTTTCAGCGTCTAGAAGTTACCTGCCTTTTATTTTTTACCTTTTGCTTGCATCACTCCAACATCTGTCTTCTGTTGTCACATCTCCTGCTACTCTTCTGTCATCAAATCTCCCTCTGCCTCCTTCTTATAAGAGCACTGTGATCACATTTAGAGCCCACCTGAATAATCCAGGACAATGTCCCCATTTCAAGATCCTGGAATTAACCATATTGGGAAAGTCCCTTTTTCCATAGGTAACATTGACAAGTTCAGGAATTAGGACTTGGATGTCTTTGGGGGCCATTAGTCTGCCCCCTACAGTGATGAATAGTTATACTTTGGTCATGGCACATTTAAGATGTCTGATAGAAATCTTACTGGGAGAGTCAGGAGGGCAATTGGACATATGAGCCTGAAACCTATAGGGAGAGGTCTGACCTGGAGAGAGAAGACATCGGTGTAGAGGTGAAGACTGGGCAGGTCAGAGCTCTCCAGGAAAGACAAGAGGGCCAGTGACAGAGCTCTGGGCTGCAGGTGTTTAGAGGTTTGGTGGCAGCTTGGGCGGAGGTAGAGCCAACAAAAGAGATTCTGAAGAAGCAAGCAGTGGGGTAGAAGCAAGGTCAGCAAGTGCCGAGATCCCAAAGTCTGGAGAAGGATGTGTTTCAAGAAAGGGGGTGCAGTATCTCTTTTAAATGCTGCTGACAGGTCAGCTCAAATAAAATGAGAAGCAACCATTGGCTCAGTAGAGAGAATGACAGAAATGACAGTAGGAAAATCAGGTAGTTCTCATTCAAGTGCATCTCTTCCTCACTTGAAGCCATCAGCTAAGGTAGCAGGGATAGGGAGGGGGTGTTGAAGATTTGCAGAGAGAGGAAAAGGTGGGGAACAGTTATCTTGGAAAGCAGGAGGGTGAATTTACAAGGGAGATGTGGTAGAATTATCTCACTGTGTTGGGTGTCCAGTTGCCATTTGTACCCATGAATATGAAACAAGTCTCATCATTGGTTGTAGGGTTTTCCTCCACACCTTCAAGCTGCTTGCTCATGTGCAGATGTGGAATGAGAAAAAAGTTGGGTTTACCTAGTGTCGACTGTTCTGCTGAGCAAGCAGACAGGAGAATTATGTCTACTCGTGAGGGAATGGTTCTCTTAATGGACCATGGGGCCCAGGCTGGAGAAGAAGGGAAAGCACAAAAGGTAAAAGGAATAATGAAAAATGGAAAGTGACAGGGTCAATGCCAGGAGCTCTCCGTGAGGTTGGAGAATTGTTGCAGTCAGTGAACTGCAAAGGTTGGGAGGTGATGGCTGGAGAGTGGGATGTTTAATCCAGATTTTGGAAGTGGTGAGGATACTGCTGATGGTGAGCCTAGGAGGTGACCTCTTGCTTAGAGGATGGGGTGTGCTGGAGGAAAAGATCTCTGGAGTCTCAGAGAAGCCAGGGAGCTGGAGAAATTACTTGCCTTGGCCTTGCTCAGTGCTATCAGACCAAATGTCCCCTTTGTATAGCAAATATATTTTAATGTCCCCTTTTCTATGCTGAAATGGAATTCATAAGATACTATAAGCTATCATTTTTTGTAAAAAATTAATATAATGTAACAGATAATGTAAAAAAGGGGAAGTAATTTATAACAATTAATACCAATTAATTTATAAGCATGGAGGCACAACTACATCAGAAAGCAGATAAGCAAGCAAACCCCGTCCATCTCCAAAATGCCTCCAAGGGGAAGGTTCTGCCTCTGCTGAGAACCACTGGTCTCTGCGGACGCTGGAGGCAGGGGCAGCAGGCGCATGAGGACTGAGGAAGCGGACAGTCGCCAGCAGCATCGAGGAGGGAAAAGGGGTGGTAAACAAAGGTGACAAGTAGTTCAGAGGGACTTGGGACTTCTGAGGATGAAGGGAGAGAGGCGGTTTGGGGTGGTGATGGAGAGTGAGAAGTGTGTACACCCACCTCAGCCCCAGGAGAGACAGAGTGAGGGAGACAGCGTCCTCAGGGGACAGCTTCAGTTAGGGGGGATGAAAGGGACACGCAGAGAAGAAGTTGCTAATGATGGACTGTGAGGTCCGGAGGACAGGGTGGAGGGGCTGGGAATCGGGGGTCAGAGGAAGGGGTGAGCAAGCCAAGGAAGGGATGACTGTCCATACAGTGAGGTGTCAGGAGGCCCAGAGGTGGAGAGGGAGGTGACGGGGCATTAGAGGCCCAGTGGGGTTCGTCCTGCAGCAACTGACACCCAGGGGAGGAGCACACATGAGTGAGTCGCCCCAGCTTCCGGCACGTGGAACCAAGGCCCCTCCATCTGCGGTGCACTGATTCTAGGAGCCCCCAGCAGCCACCCATGCGGCTTCCTCCCGCAGTACCCAACAGTTTCTGAAATCGCACTTTGCTCGCAAGTGTCCAAGCAGACACTGGAAGAGAGACAGGGTCTCAGTGGTTCCTAGCCCTTTGTTTGGGTCACACCCGTCTGAGGATTGAATGAGAGGGAAGGACCCTCTCCCTGAAAAACAACAAGACACTTTTGTCCTTATAATTTTAGGGGGCTCATAAATCTCCTGAAGACCACCTGCGGACTCCCTGATCTGGTCTGATAGATTCTGGACAAGCAGACGTCCTCTCCGTCCCACTCGCTCACCCTCCCCCAAATGCCTCCACGCCCATCAGTCCTGCCAGCCCTTTGAATGTGCACCGGAGCACCTTGGCACGGAAGCCACACATTTGTCCATTTATCCCACAAGCCTGGTGTGGACACTGTTATGGCCACGCGTCTCTATAGAGTGTGAGCCCCGCGAGGACAGGGACCAGGTCTGCCTGGGTCTCCAGCAACTAAGGCAGCACCAGGAGTGACGATGGGGGACATGGGGCCTGGGGAGAGAGAGGCAGGGTCTTTCGGAGCCCCAGACCTTCTCTTTCCAGTAAGAGCCATTGCGCTTGATTCTTAATTAGCTTCTCCATCAAACAGTTTTGCCCTGATTGAAGAGGGTGGCTTACATTTTTGATCTGAATGCCACCTTCCAATTAGCTGTCTCGTGTTTGGGAAGTAATTAGACCATTTTAATGGATAGGTGGCTGAAGGGGAGGAAGGTGCACCTGTTTTCATAGATAATGCTTGTTTGGCAAAAATGGGGAAAACACAAACTACCTCATTCAGATCCGTTCCCCTCAGCCCTCCCACTGCCTCCTGCTCTACAAATTATATATTGATTCCTTGGGTGGCTGATATGAAAACGAGGGAAGATGGGTGGGGTTCATCTGGTAGGGGCAGGTGACCCGGTAAGGCGGGAAAGAAGGAAGAGGGCTGGGTAATGGCAGCGGATAGAGGAAGAGATTGAATTA